GGGGCAGGGTTTCGGGGAGGAGCAGTAGCCTCTGAAAGAAGACAGCCAGAATCAGCACAGGGGACAGGCTGTGGCTGCTCTGGACGGCAGCGTGGCAGCCCCCACGCCAGTGTGGACACGGCTCTCCTGGCAAGGGGATTGCTCCCTGGGGGCGAGGGGTTTTGTGGAAGGAAGCCCCACTTCACGCAGCTCTAGCTCTTCACGTGCCCAAGCAGCTCTGCTGTGGGGCCCCTCACCAAGCAGAAGCTGGAGGAGTGACCCCACCTTCCCCTCCAAGGTCATCAAAGCACAGGAAGTGCAGCGGGAGGGTCGGCTCTGCATGACAGTGGCCTCGGTGGTGAACTCTGTCCGCAGCGCAGTGCCCAGTGACCTTCGGGATGTATGTGAACCACATCTCAATAACGCAGCTGAAGGAGACGTCGTTTGTGATTGCTGGTCCTCAGAAATACAGTTGGTCTTTGGATTTTGATCTTGTACCTTGCAATTTTATTAAACTCATTTATTCCTGTGAGTAGGTTTTCTGTAGATTATATTGGGTTTTCCACATAATCATGTCCTCTGCATACAAATGCAACTTACTTCTTCCTTCAAAATAAAATGGCAACCAGGATTTACCTGGAGGTACGCGCTACACTCCCCTCCCGGCCGGGCTCCCTGAAACACCCAGAAGAGGGGGCTCTGCGAGGCGCTCGGCTCGGTCTCCGCGGTGAAGGGGCCGGTGCTCGGAGCCAGCGAGACCCGCTTATAGAGAACCACTCACCCCACTTAAGGAGGGGATGGTCTGATGTGATATGTAAGGTTCTGTCCAACTTTGAAAATCTCTTTATCCACAGAAAGTTTGTGTTTTTGTGTAAATGTGTATATACATGTAATCGGTATGTTCCTTTTAAATTTGATATAAAATTCCTTAGAGTAAATTTTTTTAAATTTCCAGCTGATGACGTCAGAGTGATGGTGATCACGGTCCCTTCCCTTGGGGGATCGTGAGAACTCACGACATCCGAGCCGTAAAAGTGCCGTAAAAGTGTCTGACGCACAGCAAAACTTAGAGCCACCGAACCGGGCTTTTTTTTTTTGTCTGGAAAAGACATTTAAATATTTTTTCATGTATTTTTATTGATTCCAGAGAGGAAGGGAGTAGGAGAGAGAGACAGGAACATCAATGGTGAGGGAGAATCATTGGTCGACTGCCTCCTGCATGCCCCACACTGGGGATCGAGCCCACAACCCAGACATGTGCCCTGACTGGGAATCGAACCGTGACCTCCTGGTTCTTAGGTTGACACTCAACCACTGAGCCACGCCAGCTAAGCAAGACATTTAAATATTTAATAATGCGTTGCTAAGTGTCTGCCCAAAATGTATATATTGAAGCCTAATCCCCAATGTGATCATGTTAGGAGGCGGGGCCTTTGGGAGGTGATGAGGTCATGAGGGTGGAGCCCTCATGAATAGGATTAGCGCCCCTAATCAAAGAGACTGTGCACTAACCGGTTTGGCTCAGTGGATAGAGTGTCCGCCTGCAGACTGAAAGGTCCCAGGTTTGATTCCAGTCAAGGGCATGTACCTTGGTTTCGGGCACATCCCCAGTAGGAGGTGTGCAGGAAGCAGCTGATTGATGTTTCTCTCTAATCGGTGTTTCTAACTCTATCCCTCTCTCTTCCTCTGTAAAAAATCAATAAAATATATTTAGAAAAAAAAAAAAGCAAAGAGACCATAAAACACAGTGAGAAGGGGCTGTCTGTGAATGAGGAAGTGAGTCTTCCCTAACACTGACACCGAAACTTCCAGCACCCTGACCTTGGACTTTCAGCCTCCAGGGTTGTAAACGATAAGTTTCTGTTGTTTAAAAGCCACTCAGTCTCTGGTGTTCTGTTAGAGCAGCCTAAAGGGATAAAGACATGTATTTTACTCAAAATTTAAACATTTCCAAGAAAATTACATTTCCAAGAAAATTACCATGTAGGTTTTTTTAAATCTGTAAAACTCTTTGATTCTGCAGTTCTAGTCTTCAAAACTGATCATTAGATAAGTATAAAATGCGCAAATGTACAGGTCAATTGATTGAAAGATAATAGAGAACATTACATCATTTATTATTTATACAAAATAACTTGGAGAGAACCTGCATATCCAACAAAAGCATGGAGTGCTATGCAGCCACGATGAATGGCTGTGCTGTGCAGATATATCTTTACAGTGTGTTTGATTTCTTGGGGAAGCAGGTATGATGCAGTATTAGAGAATAATCTCATTTGGGTTTTTATAAATACACTAGAGGCCCGGTGCACGAATTTGTGCACATTGAAAGGAAATTAATTAGAAGAAATATTTTAATATCGCTATTCGCCCTTTCTTTATAATAGAAGTGTCAACCAAATTCATGATCGACAATGACATGGAAGCACACACATGCGATTGGTGCCAGCGAGAGATATATATATATATATATATATATATATATATATATATATATATATATTAGAGGCCTATTGCAGGAAGATTCCTGCAAGAATAGGGCTTCCTTGGGCCTATTCCTGCAAGAATAGGGCTTCCTGCGGCCGGAGCTCCCATCTCCACAGCCCTGCTTGCTTCCCTCCCGTCTCCGCCACCTTGCTTGCTTCTCCGCAGCTTTGCTCCCTTCTGCAGTGCTTGGCTTCCTTCTACGTTGTCTTCAGTCTTCGCTCCGTGCCTGCATATGCAAATTAACCGCCATCTTTGTTGGGTTAATTTGCATACTCGCTCTGATTGGCTGGTGCGTGTAGTGGAGGGATGGTCAATTTGCATGTTTCTCTTTTATTAGTGTGGCTAAATAAACTTGCTTAATTAGACCTGCTTTCTGATTTAGCTAAACTTTTTCCAGCCCAGTGAAGCACCCCAACTTCTCTTTCAGGTAATTGTCAGCAACACAGCAGTAAATATCAACACGAAGCAGATTATTATTGTAGATCACACAGGAAGAACAAAGGATGAAATATTTAACTGCAGCAGTGTTTGACTATATTCTGCGCAGTGAGAAAACCTGAAGTCATTTTCAAGTTCCACCATCTCTTACTTTCTTTTCAGTCGGGTCAAGTTTCTAAACTCTCTAAATCTCTGTTTTCTGGCTAATGTAAAGAAAATAGGATTCTACCAAATCTCCTGTCTACCTACTCTAGGACTTCTGTGAGGATCAAATGAGATGAGCATGGGAAAATGCTTCACAGACATTTGGTTAAAGTGTAAAATGTTTGCACCTGGCTATAAAGCAAGTTGTGCTCCTGGGCTGAAGAAACTCCAAGGAGGCTAGTCGCTAGGGAGAGGAAGCTCAGCGTTGCTACGTGATGTCATTACCCAGCTCCCACAGCCACTGTTTCCAGATTGAGCTGGGCTGTGGGCCGCATTTTGCACCATGGGGTCTTGGCAGCGTTGGCTGCGATTTGTTGGGCTGTCACTCCAAGGTGGTGGCGGGGCCTGTGTCCCACTTGGGGGAAGCCGAGTGTTGCTTTGTAGGCACCAGGTCTGTGGTGCCGTTTCTCTGTAAATGGCTAGTACATGTCACACTTAGCATATTAGCCTTTTATATATCTATAATAATAAAAGCGTAATATGCTAATTAGACTGGACAGCCGAACCACCTTCCCGGAGACCTTCTGGACGAAGCTGGGGCTGCAAGGGCCGAGCCCCTTGCACGAATTTTGTGCATCGGGCCTTTAGTATATAGATAGAGAGCATCCCCCAAAAAATGTAAACACACTAAACAGCTGATAGCTCAACTGATGTTTCTCTTTTTTTCTTTTCTTTTTTCAGAATGAACTCATTGGAGTTAATAATTATTGAAAGTGTGTATACATTTTTGGGGATACCCTGTATATATAGGAAGATGTCTGGAAGAAAAACAGCTCAAAATATTGGCCTGATTACCCCTAAGAGGAGAAGTTAGGAATAATGTGTGCTTTCCCCCCTGATTTTCTGTTTGTTTTAGCAACATTTTCTTGCTTTTCTACAGTTAAATTATAACGACAACAATACAAACGATGTATTAAGCACTTACTTTGTGCCAAGCAATGTGTTGAGAGCTTTCTATACGTTTCCTTCTCTGATCCACACAAGGACTCGGGGAGACAGGTGCTATTGACTAAAGACTCAGGCAGGAGTTTTCCCATTGAAAGTGACAGAATATCCAACTCCAGCTGGCTTAAGCCAAGAGAGGGGATTAATTAGCTCCTGTCAATGGAAAATCGAGATTGGCTTCATGCACGGGGCTCAAAAGTTGTCCCCCACAATGGGTTTTGGTTGACGCCCATTCTCAGACAACCAATCCCATCTGGGAGCAAGATGGCTTTGTGGCGGGGCCCAGTCATACCCTCGGGACTGCACGGCTATGGGAAAGAAGTGGTTCCAGCAAAACCTGAAAAGACTCTCCATTGGACAGCTTGGGTCACGTGACTACCCGTGAATCAGTCTCTGTTGTCCAGGGTCACGTGCCACAGTCATGGAGCCAAGGAGTGAAATCATAGCTCAGACTGGCAGAAGCAAAAGCAAAAGCCGGTAATGGATGCTGCGTGGGAGGAAACACACCGGCGACCACCACCATGATCTCCGATTACTGAGGAAGCAGGAGCTCCGAGAGGGAAAGTCGTTTGTCCCAAGTCACCTAGAGAGTCAGTGAGGGGCTGGGATGTGAACGCCCATCTTCTTCTAACCCCGGAGACCGGGAGCTTATTTACCAGACGATAGCGCCTCCTGTGGGTACTTGGATAGTATTTTGACTCATTTAGAAACAAAATACGATCATGAGCTCCCGTCAGTGGGTTTGGGGTGCCCGGCTGCCTGAGATGCAGGTGGGGTCAGGGCACACCTGCGACCCTTGTGCCCAACGCTTCCCTCCAAGAGGGTGACCATCCTGTTGTTGGGTATCTTTCCATCAACACAGGTTGCCGAGAGCAGCCCTGAGGGCCAGTGCGGCTCAGAAAAAGAAGACGCTCCAAACACACAGGTTATAATAACAATATCTGGTATTTATTGGCGGCTTAGCGTGTGCCGGGTATGGTGCTATCGATTCCTCTGACCGCCTGTGGAGGTGGGGACAGGTGCTGCCCTGTGCTACAGGTGAGGAGACCGAAGCACAGAGAGGTGACGCTCCTTGCCAAGGTCACACGGCATCTCAGGTGGAGCGGGACGTAGGTGGAGTCTGACTCCAGAGGCAGCCCTTAGTCACACCCGCTGGTGCCCGAGAGGATTGTAGTGGTCCCGACAGAGATCGGACCCGTAGGAAGCGAAGGTGCTCACACCATCCCTGAGTATTCGAGGAGGCAGGGAGGGCTGACGCTGCGGGCTGCATCCCCTGGCATTGCCCCGGGCAGGTGTTTGCTGGGACGGATTGCGCAATCGGGGCGGAGGCACAGCCTAGAAACCGGCTCAATATTCTTCCTGTTGCGATTTCCATCTTACTCTGGAGTTGATACTTATTTTATATGGATGTCATCACTGGTGAAAATGAATCCAGCCTCTAAGTAGACACAGGCTTAAAGGATATTCAATAAGAAGAATATTCATGACACAGTGTTAGTGATTTTTAATGCAAACTATATATATATATTGTGATTCAAATGTTGTTTCTTAAAAATATATATGTCCATACATTTAAAAAAAACCCAAAGGAATAAACAAAAGGTTAATTCTGGGGGCTAGTATTTTGGATTATTTTTATTTTTCTCTTTTGTTCTTTTCTATACTTTCCAAATTTTCTATAATAAAGTATAGTATATCCATAATTTACAAGTTAATACATTTTTACAAAGGTTTCCAAGTATAAAAGACATAAGACTTCCATAACAACCTCAGCTTTGTTTTTCTCTTAACCTTCTTTCTTCATTTATTTATTCATTCATTCAACACACACCTGCTCTCTGTGCTGGGCAGGGCTCTTGCTCAGAGGGGACCCGTGCAGATCCGTGAGGGGCTCCCTCTGCAGCAGGTGGATCATACTCGTCTGCTCAGACAGGCCCCCCCCCCGCCCATGTGAGCCCTGTAAGGACAGGGACGTGTCTGCTTCACCCCTGTTCCCCAGTCCCTGCGATGGGACCGGAAACAGGTGCTCCGGAAATACTTACAAATGCGTGACGTCAGGGAGGCCCGAGTCCAGGTCCAGCTCCTGACTTCCAGTTTCCACGTCTGCAAAATGGGGAGAAATACCCACCTTGCGGGGTTGCTTGAAAGTCGTTTACACAATGCGTGGAAGTAGTGGTAGACCTTCAACAAAGAATAGAAATAATGAATCTCAAATTGGGTCGACTGGAGATTGACTAGGAATAAACTGGGTTTAAGTTTTGGACAAGAGTGTGTAGAGTACATTCCCACTTAGCTAGGAAAAGAGGAGGCATTGAGTTTTTTAAATATATTTTTTACTTCAGAGAGGAAGGGAGTGGGAGAGAGAGAAACATCAATGATGAGAAAGAATGATCCGAGCCCACAACCCAGGCATATGCCTTGACCAGGAATCAAACTACAACCTCCTGGCTCACAGGTCGACCCTCAACCCCTGAGCAACGCCGGCCGGGCTTAAATTTTAAAATGAAAAGACAACCCAAAAAGTGGAAGCAGCAAATGTCACCTAGAGGTAGAGGAAGGGAGCAGGGTAGAGGGGCAGAGACAGAAGTAGGCCGACTTGGAAACCAGGCCAATGTTTCACGTCATCCTAGAACAATGTGAACTGTTTCAAAAAGAAATGCCAAACGTCAAAGAGCAAAACCAACAGCAAGCTAACTTAGGGCAAGTGGTGGTGACCACATGGGGAGGAAATCACTCCAAGTGACGGTCTGTCCCCAGCAAGATGCTCCCTGAAGGCGAAGCAGAAATAAACTGCAAAAGAACAAAAGCAATGATCACACGGGTGGTACTGGGACTCGCCTGGGAGTGCCACGTGGAAGGAGGACATCTTCCCTGGGAGCTGGGGAGAGAGAGGACACAGGGGTCGGCGGCTGAGGCTGTGATCCTGAATTTAGACCAGAAGTGCCCATATGAACTCATGATGTGTTTGTAATAGAGTAATGTACGTTCTTTTGTGAGCAGTTTTAGGTTTGTAGAAAAAAATGAGCACAGAGTACAACCTGAATCGGATCAAGCCTCTAGATCTGATCAAAGGACCTCACGGGGGTACAAGCAGCACAACCCAGACTCAGGGGAACTTCCTCTACAGGACAAGCAACCAGGTTCCTTCAACAAGCAACCAGGTTCCTTCAACAAATGGCAAGGATGGAGAGGTGGGGAGGGAGGGTGAGAGAGAGACAGAGGCAGGGAGATGGGAGGGGAGTATAGACTTTAAAAGATTTAAGAGACATGTATGGCCCTGGCCGGGCAGCTCAATTGGTTAGAGCATTGTCCTGAAACACCAAGGTTGTGGGTTCAATCCCCAGTCAGGGAACATTCAAGAATCAACCAATGAATGCATAAGTGGAACAATAGCTGCTTCGCAGAGGGAGGTAGGAGCTTTCTAAACCCACCCCACCCCGGCATAAACCAGGCAGATAAAAGCAGAATCATGTAGCGATTAGGAGCCCGAGTTCTGAAGGACGAAGATTCACATCCCAGCTCTCCCAGCACATGCCTTCACCTGCCTGAGCCTCAGTGTCCTCATCTGTAGAAGGGGAACAACATGAGATGAGTGGCTCATACAGCTGTGGTGTGGACTCAGTGTGAGACGGTGTGAAGTGCTGAGCTAGTGCCAGTGGTACCCAACAACAGCGGTTATTTCTGCTGCTATGATTGTTATTAATTACTAGAGGCCCAGTGCAAGAAATTCGTGCACAGGTAGGGTCCCTAGTGGCTGCCGGCTGCTGGCCGCTGGCCAGGGCCGGGGCCTCCCTTCCTGTGGTTGGCCGGCCGGCCCCACCACCTGGTTGAACTCCCAGTCGAACTCCCGATCGAGGGGACAATTTGCATATTAGGCTTTTATTAAATAGGATTCCATAGCCAGAATATAAAGCAGGGCTTTCCCCAGAAAACTGGTTCCTTGCATTTGCCTCTTTGCAGAGCATGCAGTGTTATGGGCCACTTTCTAAGTATTTCATTTTGACCAGCAGAATGGCGTTTGGGGAAGACACATCCGTGAGAAGTGATCTCACTTGGTGCTCATTTTAAATGTTGATCCCAGCAACCTGACTGACAAGTGGCTAAAAGAGATAAAGCCATCTTGTGTCGTTTTCGTTTTAGAATTTCTCCTGGGAGTGTGGCCTCGCACAGCAGGGCTTGCATGTTGCTGCAAATAGGACTTTACAGCAGGTGTGTGGGTTATGGGTTTACACAAGAGCAAGTATAACCTCGTGGTGTAATGTTCGGCGAGTAGGGGTGTGTGGCATGGGGTAACGACAGCACCCCACACACAGGGCCCTGTGTCAAACCCCTTAGAGGGAGGTGGAGATGGGTGCTCTGGAAACGAGGCTGGCCATCTTGAAAAGTGGCTTAGTCATGACAAAGGACATGGATTCAAAAATGCAGGCGAAGCACAGGCTACCAAAGCAAAAACAGACGAACTGGACTTCTAACGCAAAAACCTCTGTGCATCAGAGGACACAACCCTCAGAATGAAAAGGCAGCCCACTGCAGGGAGGAAATATTCACAAATCATTTATCTGGATAAATGTGTGTGTGTGTGTGTGTGTGTGCGCAAAAGACTTGAACATGTCTTCACAGAAGACATACAGATGACCAAAGGCCATGTGAAAAGACGCTCGCCATCACTATTCATTAAGAAAGTTCAAATCAAGACCACGGTGAATTACTACCTCACACCCATCTGGATATTACTAACAAAACAAAAAATAGAGGAAGTAGAGAAATGGGGACCCTTGTGCACTGTTGGTGGGAATGTAAAATGGTATGGCCACCTTGGCGGTTCTTCAAAAATTTAAAATAGAATTACCATATGATCCAGCAATTCCACGTCTGAATATATACCCAAAAGAATCGAAGGCGGAAATCTGATGAGATATTTGTATACTCATGTTCATAGCAGCATTACTCACAAAAGCCAAGGAGTGGAAGCAACTCGCCGTCCATCGATATATACATTTAATGAAATATTATTCAGTCTTAAAAATGAAATTTCTGATCCATGCTATAACAGATGAATCTTGAGGATGTCATGTTAAGTGAAATAAGCTAGTCACAAATGGACAAATATCCATGTTTCCACCTCTCTGAGGTACCCAGAGTAGTCAGATTCATGGAGAGAGAAAGTAGATGATGGCTCCCAGGGCCAGGGGGACGGGAGAATGGGAGTTACTGTGAATGGAGACAGAGTTTCAGTTTTGCACGAAGGAAAGAATTCTGGAGATGGACGGTGATGATAGCAGCACAACAATGGGAATGTGCCCGATGCCACTGAATCGTACACTTAAAATGGTTGAAATGGTCAATTTTATGTGATGTTATTTTATCACAATTAAAAAGGAAGAAATGCTAGTGGTGAGCTGGAAATTACACTGCCTCAGAAACTGCAAGAAAAATCAATATTTATACCTATTATCTCTTTTCCACCCATTTTTCAGGTTACAAACATCCAAAATTATAATTTTGCAGGTAATAACCAAATCATAAGCTTAATATTTTTAAATATATATATATATATATATATATATACTTTTTATTGATTTTTTACAGAGAGGGAGAGGGATAGAGAGTTAGAAACATCGATCCGCTGCCTCCTGCACACCCCCCACTGGGGATTTGCCCGCAGCCAAGGTACATGCCCTTGACCAAACTTGAACCTGGGACCCTTCAGTCCGCAGGCCGACGCTCTATCCACTGAGCCAAACCGGTCAGGGCCATAAGCTTAACATTTTAAGTAGGCATTTGACAGTTGCATCATCTTTAGTTTATGTACTCAAATTGGTCAAAAACATGTGGGGGGATCTTTAGGAAAAGGCTAGGGTGCTTGCTCTCCATCTCTTCTCACATGTTCAGGGAGCATTTGGAATCATCTCCCATCACCAGTGTCTCTCCCCCGCCAACCCCCGCTTCCCTTGGACACCCCAGCCCTGTCCGGCAGTCCTGGACTATTTCGGGTTCCCACGGACAGCCTAGAACCCAGAGCTCAGGGCCCTAAGACTCCCACAACGCCTGCCCTCCTCCCCGATGCGTGCTTCCTACGTGCAGAGAGCATTTAGTGTCTAAAAGGCTTGAGTTTGCTTTTTAATGTTCTTTGATTTAAAAGTAATGAGCCGCTCAGAGAAATGACTGGCCACAGATTTTTTAAATTGTTCCTGAATCCCAACACCTTGGAAACAGCATTCCTTTGGCAGAGTCCCCTCGGGATGTCACCTTCCAGCCGCCCCACAATCAGTCCCTCCTGCAGGGCCTCTGATCATGGATGCGGAGGGGCGGGGGGTGCGACAAGGGCTTGAGGCCTTGAGGGTGGAATCCTGAGAGTCACCACCATGCCCTGTGCACTGGGTGCTGTGACAGGGACCAGGCCCCTGGCCACAATCTCTCGTCCGCCTGCCCCACGAGTTGCCTCTGTGAGTGACAGCAAGAATCCCCAGAGAAGTGTCTATGTAGGTCCTTTGCCCATTTTTTAAATTGGATTGTTGGGGGGGGGGGTTTGGTGTTGAGTGGTTTGAGTTCTTTATCAGTTTTGGATATTAACCCCTTATCAGATGTGTCATTGGCAAATACGTTCTCCCATTCGGTGGGTCGTCTTTTCGTTTTGTTGATGGTTCCCTTTGCTGCGCAAAGACTTTTCAGTTTGATTTAGTCCCATTTGTCTGTTTGCTTTTTCTTTTGTTTCCCTTGCCCAAGGAGATATATCAGACCTGAAACTAATACAAAATAATATTGAATGTAAACTGCAATTGAAATATTTTTTTTAATTTTTAAAAATAAAGTAACATTCCTGGGGGAAAAAGAGTCTCCAGAGATGAGCCTCTCCTTTTCTCATCCACTCCCATCCCCACCCGCAAGCCCCAGAGCTCCCCTCCATCCCCAAGACCCTGCTGTGCTGCCTCAGTTTCCCCAGACCATGCCACCCTCCCCGAGAACCTAGCAGGCCCGTCCTCGTGTGCATCTTCTCTGCCCCAGTGCTCCGGGTAGGAGGAGGAGGAGGAAAGGGGTGGTCACTCAGGACAGCAATCAGCCTCATCTCAGCGTGAGAAGTCATGTCTTGCCTGCGTCTTCAGCTGGTCTACGTGGGAGAGGTGTACCCCCAACCACGGAGCCAGCACGCTGTGGGCCATGTTATATTCCAAGGGCATTGT